GAAAATAAAAAAAAAATGGACGTTGAAGCAAGAAAATTCTGTGGATTATTGATGTTCAATAAACCATTTGTATCATCAAAAGGTCCTGGATCATTCGATTCATCATCAAATTATAATAATAATAATAATAACAACAATTTATCATCTTCAATCATCCAATCAAATTACAACATCAATTCATCGGCAAATCCAACAACCAATAATAATAGATCAAACGATTACATTTCATTGGATAACAGTAACTACAATAATATTATCAAGAATAATAATAATAACAGCGATGATGACAAATCATCAAAAGACCAAGACGAAAAAAGACCTCCCAGACCTCCAAATGCTTTCATCTTATACAGAAGAGCAAGACAACCTGCAATCTTGGCAGCAAAAAGACATTTGACCAACGCAGAAATCTCTAGATATATTTCCGATCTATGGAAAAACGAAAGCAACGAAACTAAATTGGAATGGGAAAGATACGCTGATCAAAAGAAATTGGAACACATGCAAGCATATCCAAATTACGTTTATAAGCCAAACAAAAAAGGCAAAAACGAAAAACGTAAACAACAACGTAAACAATCTGCCCTTTCTTCCGTCGTTACATCCACCATCACTCATCCTTCTATTAATAACAATAACAACATTGAAGTTGGCCCGATTAGAAATAGAAAATTAACTAGAGGCCAAAATCGTTTCAATATAATTAATAATAACAATAACAATATCAACAATATCAATAGCGAAAGTAGATTATTAGAAATGCCATTCCATCATCCATCTTATCAACAACCAGGTTCCATTAATTTTAAGTTTGGATATTTATTTCATTATTAGCATGTCATAATCATTGTAAGAAGGAAAGAGAGAGGTTGGCGAAGAGTTTTAGTATCTTCTCATTTAAACATTCGGTTGATTGTTTGATTTGCACATGATTTTTAATGAACGTTCTTAAAGGTATGGGAATCTCGAATGATTTTCAATTTTTATAATAACTCTTCGTTTATTAACTCAATTTATTACTAATTTTTAAAAGAACTTACATAGAATGCAAATCGGTGGAACTTCTCCAGCAA